ATGGAGCTATACATTCGTCGAAGTCTTGGAGTCAAAGGAAAGTATCGCAACACTTTTTGTGGTAATTTCTTCCCCTTTGTAGTTATGTTCACCCATCTACTCTCCTTAGAAATCGGGCAATTTTGCATGGAACCGTTCTCCTTCCAAAACAAAGCACAATCATTTTTGCAAGCGTGGATCGATTGATATCCTAACCCTATCTTTCTCAACTTCTTTTTAGCTTCATAGTGTGAAGTTGGAATCTTGCTCTTTAGGAAAGCAACTCTTAGTAACTCTACAAGTTGATCAAATGAACTATTTGTCCATCTATTGATCACTTTAATATGAAACAACTTTGCCAAAAAGTTTAAGGCAGACATATTGCTACATTTAGGGTATAACTTGGTATTGAGCTCCTCAAACAAATCATCAAGTTCCGGTTTTATACACTCCTCGTCTATATTTTCTTCATTTGTATTTTGTTCCGCCATAACATCATCAATTACATCAAACATCTCATTACGTGTGGGTGTGTTTGTTCTTGGAGTCAAATTGTAGCTTAAATCCGAAGAATCGACATGTTTCTCACTGTGATAAATCCACGTAGTATATGTTTCTAGAAACCCAATGTCATGTAAGTGAGCATAAACCATAGGCAAAACATGTCGATACGAATTCACACACGTTTTACACGGGCAACGCACTTTGCCTTTAGAGTTGACATGTTTCTCAGCAATCTTCATAAAGTTTTTAAGACCTTCCAAGTATTTTGAAGACATTCGGTTCTCTCTAATCCAACTCTTATCGATCGTCATCGCTATTTCACTTTTAAAAATTATATTATATATGTAGTTATCGAAAGTTAGATTGTATTTGTGCTAGATAAATAAATAGATAGCCGAGAACGGATAGAGTATTCACAAGTATATAAAAAAATATATACTCGAGAAATAAAAATCAGATTGATTGGATAGAGTACTCACAATGGTTATGAAGAAGAAACTTAAAACTAAAAATCACCGATTCAACATGTTTTAATAAGAAAATCATATTAATTTAATTTTATATTTAATTTAATTTAATTTTAATATTAATATTAATTTGATTTTAAAACTAATTTAATCTGATTTTAATCAATTCACCTTTACTTTAAAATTATTTTAAAATTACTAAAAGTATGTTGCTATTAATAACCTAATTAAGCTAAAGCCATAATGACCAACATTAAGTCACTAATAAAATTAAACACTTTGAAACCATATTAAACAATTTACCATCCAAACAATAGCATCTAATTACATCAAATAACTCAAGATGATATTTTTTAAGGTAATGTTTGTAACTTAACATAATGTATACATGAAGTTTGTTTGCTAGTTCTATAAGGTTGCACATAAACTCAAATTGTAAAGATCTTATAGCCTTCTATCATCACTTTTACTTGTAGATAAGTAAAATATATAACATTGTATGCACATAGAAAGCAACATGTGGCCAATATATAACATTGTATGCACTTAGAAAGCAAAAAAGCATAATGTGGCCTTATACCTTGTTTTCACATATTTAACATTTAGACATTTAAGATTTATGCAGCATTATGATGCATAAACAAATTCATATACATATCATGGTTTATTGAAGAAAAACGTCAATGTGGTAGTAAATAGGAAAAAAAACTCAATATACTAACCTCAAAATTGGTATTAGAGATTGGTTAAAATCGGTAGTAAGCTACGGATCTTCGAGAATTGCATGATAAAATTTTATGATGTATGATGTCTGATAGCTTAGGATAATTTCTTGTATTTTAGATGGAATTGACATCATTACTGTATTTTCTTCGTGTGTGCATCATAGTTGTACATAACTAAGAATTTATAGCCTTAGAATGTTTGATTTAGCTTTATCTCATGTTCCTTGTCTGGTTGTGGGCTTAAGGTAGAATCAATTATTCGACTGCCTATAGAATCTAACATTCTGTATGATTAACATGCACGAGTGGCTGTGGTTGGTGGAAGTTCTATGAGGGAGTGTAATTTACAGTAAGTCTGCGTGAGGAATGATTAGCCATTCTTGAGAAAGTAGGTACTTGATGTATGTGTATGCTTGATGCTTAGGCCTAGTGGTTCGGAATTTTCATGTAAAGATCTCTTGATTTAATGGTGTCTTAGTGCCAAACGGTTTCACTGCTCCAATGCAACTTGCTTGTGCTTTGTGGGACTCATATTGATGTAATTAACTATTATATGAACATGTTAATTTACATGCTGCAAAGATTATATAATTTTCGAATGATTGATTTGGCTCTATTACACAACTCTTGTTTGAGTCTAACCATTATAGGGTTGGGTCTTTTAGTCGAAAGCTTATTTAAGTTTTGTTAACGTGTAATTGTATTCATGAAGTGGTTAGTGGGCATTAATAGGGGTTTTCAGGAGTTGATGGCAAGGTGAGTTGGGGATCCTAGGAGAGCCTAGGAAGTGATTTAGTTTGGTTGCTATGTTGTTTAGTGGGTAGTAGGAGTATTATTATAAGTATGTGGTTTAGAGGAATCTGGGTGCTTCTTGAGGAAAGTATGGATAGGTGTGAAAAGTAGTAGTAGGCTCATACTACTAGAAGCATAGGATCCATAGTCACGAGGATTTTAAGGAGCTGATTAAGGGTAGATAGTGTGGTTTTATAACCATGATTTGTGGCAATGTTTCCATATATGTCGATATCGTAGATATGGTTGTTCAAGCTGAAGATTAGTGTGGTGATTGTTTGGGCCTTAATGGCCATGCCAGGTTGGGTTTGAATGGTGTAGACCTAGGTGAGTTAGTTGATTTTGAGGTCTTGAGGTCCTTGCTCGAGGTAGTGCCATTTGAGTTTCGAGACTCAAGAAAGAAGTGATTGTTATGATCAGCTCGAGGATTATAGCCAAAGGCTAAGTGATTGTTAGATGGATTGAATTGTTACTATATACAATGGGGGGCTATGTTCTTCTAACATTTTGTGTTCGGAAGAGAGAGAGCAGACATGTTAGGTTCAGAGTTGGGATGTAGACCTAGCATGGGGATAGATGGTTGTAGTTTTTGGTAGCAGTATGGTATTGTGGAATGAACATGAGGATTCTTGTGGTATGGTTTTCATGAGATGAGATCAAGGGCATGATTTCTTTGAATTTAGGCAGGTCGGGTTCTAGCTGATGGTTTCAGGTGATTACGGAAGTGAATCGGGAGCCACAACTTTTTTTTTTGTCTCCGATGTATCCAAACTGTAAGAATGATGCCTTTTGTATTTATGAATGATTCTCACGATAAATTGACGGTTAGGGATTTTCAGGTGAGGAGTGTCATGGTCTACTTGTTTCTAGATAGGAATTTGGTGTTATGAATGGACTTTCAAAGTTATTTCTTATGCATCTGAATGGAATTCTTGATGTTAGAGGCAGTCATGATTAGGGAGTTCCCGAGGTCTTCATCTGAGATTCGGAAACTCTTGGATTTTGCTTGATCTTTATTAGGAAGACCATCTTTTGTTGTGGTATACATTCCAAGGTTCATGGATGTTATGTATCTGGGTGAGTTGGTTTGACTTTTGGTCTTTTTGCAATGTTAGTTGGTGGTAGTTTGAGCCCAAAGTGGGGGAGAGGTGGATATTCTGCTTAGCGGATCAATAATTTGTTCGAGTTATGGTTACATAAGAATAGATCATTAGGATTTACGGTTTGGGTATGCGAAACTTTGGGCCTTAATGGCCATGCCAGCTGAACGAGCCCTCGCCAGTTACTTCTACTCCACCATCAAGCTCTTGCTCCGCTTATAGAGGTGGTGGCGCTACTGGTGGTTTCCCTTCAGCTTCTCTACCCCTCACATGTGTCTTCACTTATACATAGGCCCATCACTCGCATACAATTGTAAACATATGCGGTTTAGGGGTTTTTATTGGCGACTCATTTCCTTTCCCCGTCGAGTTCGAAATTGTCACTGGAGGAAGTAATGGCAGTGGAAGATGATGAAGGACCTTCACTGTAGGTGTTTTTTATTATTATTATCATACTGTAACACACCACCAGCCCACAACCTTTGCTCTCTCCTTCTGCTTTTCTCTGTAAACCCTAATCCGCCTCCACCACTACCCAATCTACCTCAACTCACCTCTGACCTCGTCTCATCTGTGTTCTCTCATATCTCCCTCTTCAAATACATCCTCCATAATTATAGGGAATTTTATTTAGGTTCTCACAAATGAAAAACCAGAGCATGGGTGGACGATTCACCTTCATTTTCCGGCTTCCCCACCATCATCGATATACTAGCATTGGTCATCCTTGGAGTCACCATCTCCATCTGAAACGAACCTAGAAAAAATTGATATCCCAGCTTCCCTAACACTTTCTGCATCAAAATCGATCCCTCCATAAAAACTTTCACCACCGGTAATAACCTCCATCTCCACACCACTAACAACGCATCCCATCATCAGTCTCTCTTCCAAGAATTTTCCATGGAATTTTCTGAATTTGAAATCACGCTTCGGAGTTTTTTCTACAGGAGGAAAAGAAATGACTTCTCCAAGGTATGTTCTTCTTCTTGTCTTTTCCTTCTCTCTATTGTATTTCTTTTTATTATACTTCTTCTTCCTTCTTGTTTATTGTTTTAAGAAAACTAATTATACGTACTTCATGTGCTAATTAGAAGATCAACATTTGTAAAGCATATATGTAATGATGAAATGCCCACATCAGAAGAAAATACTGATGCTCTAACTTTTTTCCTCCAATGGAACTGTGGATTTTTATAAACCCTAGCTTCTACATAAACCCCTCTTTTAACCGAGCTTGGAAAGACCACGTGGCTTTCCACATTTAAGAGTTCTTCCTGAAGATGTATTATTATTATTAAATATTACTCTCTTCATAATCAAATCATGCAAGAAAATGAAATTCCTTTTATTAATTTATTTGTTTCTAATAACAGGGTGTTGCAATGCTTGATATTTCTAATTATGGACGAAGAGTTGCTCATCATTGAGATATGCGTATGGATATCGATCATATGTATTATGAGGTATACAAAGATTGGTTTCTTTTTTAGTCAAATTACGAAAATGACCTTTTGTGTATATGCAGGAGCTTCTTGCATTATGTGAGCAGATTGGGAATGCTGGATCGGGGTTATCAGAGGATTTTATTTCAGGTTATTTGAAAACAAGGGTATTTATGTCTTCTAAGTTGGAAGTTGTTTCACCTGCTAATCAAGAACTTAGTTTCTGCACAATTTGTCTGGTAAGGGTTTTCTAAAATTTATCCAAGATTTTCATATGATGGACATACAACAACCCCAAAGAAACTCAGGAGGTAGTCTATACAAATTCCAACAGAAAAGTACCTAAAACTGAAGGTGACAAAGGAGAGGTTAGAGTGAAGTAGCAGCAGGTTCCTACACAAGTTTGATGGTTATTTATATTTTTCGTTTCAGATGGTTGTTGATAAATTTAAGTTTTTCTTTCTTTAGTAATACAAAAACATAAATGTTGTAAAAGCACGAATGCAAGCAGAAGCCAAGGTAGCTGAAGATGCTCGGAGGCGAGTGGAGGAGGAAGCTACTGCAGAAGCAAAACGGAAAAGAGACCTGGAGAGGGAATCAACCAGACAAACATTATTGAAGGTATTCCATATTTCTATTTTGCAACATATATTTTATTATAATATATATTTTATTGTATTTCTATTTTGTAGCATTATTAAAGATTTTTTTTCAGATAACGATCATTTATTGGAAAAATTACATAATAGAAGAAAGATTAAGAAGATATCAGATATAGATGTATATCTGATATCTTCATAATCTTTCTTCTATTATGTAATTTTTCCAATAAATGATAATTATCTGACAAAAATATTCCATATGATGCAGAGATGGATCTTGGTATCAGGAAGAAGGGGCTCATTCTCTTAGGGAATCTGTATCATCATACAGGGTTTCATTGGTAATTTTGATATTTCATTTTTCTGTTGCTCTAAAATAAAATTTCTTAAAGTTGTAATTTTGATTTTGTTTTGTGCAGATGCTTATCACATGTGTTTGTATTTTGGCTGTTGACAACATTGACATATTTTTTAATTGAATAAGTTTCACCATTATTGTTTAACACCTTTTCTAAATAAATTTGACAGATGGAGAGATCTAAGAGGGAGATTAGAGAATCTAAACTCCAAGAACTAATGAACAAACATTTTGCAGCAAGTTCAGTTCCAAAAGGCATCCATTGTCTCTCTTTGAGATTAACCGATGAATACTCATCTAATGCCCATGCACGCCGCCAGTTGCCCTCATCGGAGTTTCTCCCTGTTCTTTCTAACAACTCATATTACCATTTTATCCTTTCAAGTGACAACATCTTAGCAGCTACTGTTGTGCTCACTTCTATAGTCCAGTCATCTCTAACACCTGAGAAGATTGTTTTGCATGTCATCACTGATAAGAAAACATATGCAGGCATGCACTCATGGTTTGCGTTAAACGCCATCTCACCTGCCATTATTGAAGTCAAAGGTGTTCATCAGTTTGACTGGTTGACCCGAGATAATGTTCCTGTTCTTGAAGCCGTTGAAAATCATAATGGAATTCGTAATTACTATCATGGAAATCATATACCAGGCACTAATGTTGGTGATACTGTTACTCCAAGATCATTTGCCTCAAAATTACAAGCTAGAATCCCTAAATACATATCCTTGCTCAATCATCTTCACATATATCTCCCAGAGGTAACCAGTAATTTGATTTTATTGTAAATTAAAAAAATGGTCCCTATGCCTCCTGTTTTGACCATGTTTAGTCCAAAATTAAACTCTTTTTCAGTTTCCATCCTTATCTCAAGTTTGTATATCGATTTTGGTCCTTATTTCAAGGTTTTAAGAACCAAAATCAATATGAGAGCATGAAATATAAGGACTGAAGTTGAAAAAGTTGTCAAATTTAGACTAAACACTTTAAAATCAGAAAGCACATGGACCTTTTTTGTAACTTAAAGTTTATATATGCATCTAAAAGTTTAGATTTGAATGGTTATTTGAGACCTTTCCACATGTGATAAATTCTTACCAAGTTTTCTATTTCAATGTCAAATCATTAACATAACTTTGTTCACTCCATCAACTTCCAATCTAAATCAATGCAGCAAAGAGGTAGGCTTAGTGAAAAAAAACTCATGGATGATTGTTTGACTAGTCAACTCTCCAATTCCTTTTGTCCACACGATGTTGTTTCTACATTGGGCCCCATGTATGAAGGTCATGACAACAATGGATGCAAAAAATTGCAGGTCTCAAATCAACCACTTGGAAAGCACTAAAGGTTTGACTTTTTTATTATTCCGAATAACTTTTATTAATCTTTGTAATAATAATTTTATATTTTTTCTATCAGATGTGCATCCTCAGGTCAGTCCTTGATAAGTGCCTAAGGCTGCTTGGTTTTGAGTCGGCAGCACCTTGCGATACCTCTTGCAAACTCAGGTATGTAGCTTTATTATTCCGAATAGCTCTTGTTTTCTAGTATTAGAAGATCATATGTCTTGATTTCATGCATAACAATAGAGAGATATTGCAGCATCTTTAATAGAGCTAAATAGCATTATAATCCTTCAAATGTGATGGAAACATATGAGGTGCAGTGGATAAGCAAATAAAACTCTTAATCCCAATGATGTCAATAATCTTCAAGTAACTAAAACTCTTCATTGTTTGTACGATGCATGATATATTTGCATCCCATGCTATATTATTTAGATGCTTTAACTTTCATTAATTGGTTTAAATGTTGGTGTTTAGTAATTAAACTCAATTTATTCCTCTTTTTATTAACAACTTTTAATTATTCATGATCTTCAACTATCTTCTGCTTTTGGGCGGCTTGTAATTTCAAGTGATGGAGTATGGGATGCTCTTTCCACTGAATCAGCTCTAAAATGCAGTCGCAGATTGGCTTCGGAATCAGCAGCAGCACAAATTGTCAAAGTCTGGAAACAAAAAAATGTCAAATTTGTAATAAAATATTAGGCAATGGATTCTATTTTTGTATGACATTAAATTTTATGAAATGAATTATATTTTTTGTATATGATATTTTATTTTCTATTATGATGCATTAAATGCAAATTTAATCTGAAAATTAGTAAATCTATAAAAAAATATATATTTTTAAACATTTAAAATTTTGATACGCAAAAATGTGTGTCATCTTCATTTATGACATGGCCTTTCTTGACAGGGGTTTTCTTGATACGCATTGCGTGTCATTAACACGCGCATCGTAAGGTTACGACACGCGAATGCGTGTTGTCTTCCTTTATGACAGGGCCTTCCTTGATAGACATTGCGTGTCGTAAAGGCGCGTCGTAAATGAGCGTCGTCTATAGACGACGGGCAAAAGCGCGTCGTCTCTCTTTATGACATGGCCTTCCTTGACGCGCATTTGTGCGTCATCTTAGCCATTTACGACGCGCAATGAGCGTCGTAAAAGGTTGGCTTTCTAGTAGTGATGGGATTCTTGATGTTAGAGGCAGTCATGATTAGGGAGTTCCCAAGGTCTTCATCTGAGATTCGGAAACTCTTGGATTTTGCTTGATCTTTATCAGGAAGACCATCTTGTGTTGTGGTATACATTCCAAGGGTCATGGATGTTATGTATCTGGGTGAGTCGGTTTGACTTTTGGTCTTTTTGCAATGTTAGTTGGTGGTAGTTTGAGCCCTAAGTGGGGGGAGAGGTGGATATTCTTCTTAGAGGATCAATGATTTGTTCGAGTTATGGTTACATAAGAATAGATCATTAGGATTTACGGTTTGGGTATGCGAAACTTTGGTTAAGGATTTGGTCAAGAGGGGGGGGTATAAAGCAACTTCTATATGTGTTCAGGAATGCAAGGTTCATCTTAGCGATAAGAAGTCATGGGACAAGGAGCTTGTTGTAGCCAGTGGTTCCTTTCGGGAACGTCTAGGAATAGGTCAAGAGGTGTTTGTGTTGCTTAGGTTTAGTATCGATTGTTGAGGGATTTTTCAACACGTCGTATAGACTGGTATCTATAGTGTAGGATGGCCAGTTGATGATTGGTCAATCAGTTTCAAAGATTGGTATGTTTGGTCCTTCACGGGCTTTGTATAATAGTATGTTAAATCAATGGATTAGTTTTCAATGGACTCTTGATCATTGGTCTTTTCATTCATCATCAATAACATATCTTCTTCGGAAGTTTCAAGCTGTATTAGATGGATTTCAATGGATCCGTCAACATATTGTCAAAATTTGTACATTGTACATTTTGGTTTCTTGGTATGGTACCCTCAATGGTTGGTTGTGGAATTATTGCACATAGCAGTCTTGATTCTGGCAGATGTCCTTGGTTATTGGAAGTTCGGATGTTGGGGCAACGTTGTTTATTTTTTCAGGTGTAGCTTTGGATCTACGCAAAATCCAATTTTGGCATGTCATTTCGTCAGGGATGGTATCTAGATTGACCAGACTAGAGTTTTGACATCATTTCAGATAACTTTGGAAGTTTTATTGAGCTAGTTGCATAATGGTTGGATCTGTTCAGTTTTGGTCGAGGCGTAGGATCTTAGTTTCGGCCATTCATGAGTATGTTTATGTTAGTAGTTGAGGTTCGCCAGTTTGGTTAGATCTACTAGTATCATACCCTATGGGTAAGGTTTTGAGGAAGAAAGAGTGCAGTAGATGTAGGGTTGGTTATGTGTTTCCCTTATGGATATATGTAGACTGAGTAAGATAGCATGAGAACACTTGGCTCAAGTTTTTAGCATGGTTCATAGTTGGTATGTAGCTCTTGAACTGGAACAAGAATGAAACTACCTATCTCATTCTCTGGTTATATGTTGCCATGTTTTTGCCTAATTTTGCATTCGTAGCAGCCTGTACTCTGGAAGGAATTGCGTGTGATAGAAGGGTATGACCCGTGTTGTGCTTAGTTAATGTTAAGAGGGATGTTGATTGGGTTCCTGGAAGTTGGTGGATTGATGGTCAGGTATCTTTAGGCCCATGTGGTGCCGTTAGTGAGTCTTTAGGCCAATGATGGGATGATGTCAAGGTCGGTATAGTACCGTGAGCTTATTGTTTAGTGGTTAGAAGGTATCACAATGTATCCAGAACCAGTGGTTGTATGATTCATATGGGTAGGGCCTGATAGTCGTTTGAATGAGACTCTTAGGTCTTAGATCATTAGTCTTCTTGGTATGTTTAGGTATTAATGCATTGTGTGAGTCAACTGACTCAGTGGCCAGCTGGTTTTAATCATGTGGGCAGTAAAGGTTGTAGGGATTAATAGTTGTAAATTTGAAGTCTGTTGCAGAGTGTTTGCATTATGAACCCCGTTTGCTAGTGGGTTCTCTATTAGGAGTTTAGTTGCCAGTGTAGGGTATTAATTATGGAATTTCGAGTCATGAAATTCATTGTGAATGTCTCGAGTGATTTTTCAGATGGATGCACACCTGAGATAATAAGGGATTTGGATGCAAGGTGAAATTCTTGGATGGACCATCATTATGCTCGTGAGAGTAGTGGGTCAATGATGATTTGTCAGGAAGTCAAGTGTGTATTTAAGGTTCTTGGGCATAATTTTTGGATTTGGGATTGGGCGAAATTCATGATCGGTATGTTTTGAGTATTCTTACCAAATGTTTTGGTGGTATTCCTAGTCAGGGACTAGGGTAGGTACAACGAATTGGTGATCATCAATCTTAGAGTATGGTTTCTGAAGTTTAGAATCAATGGGTTCCTGGTTCCAGGAAGTATATTGATGGTGTTGGTTTGTGGTTGTAGTTTTGAGAGTTCCCAGTTATGTGGTTATCATTGGATGTTAGGTCTTACAGTTACGGAGAGAAAGATAGCCATTGCGATTAAGTATTTTCAAGTTATTATGTTGTTGGTTGGTAGTTGTGGATTTTCGAGTGGTTTCTCAAGTTTTATTTATAAGATTCCTTGATTTCGATGTGGTTAAAAGGAGTTTATGGAATATATTGATGTTGTTTGTGTTCCACTACAACAGTTATTGAGCTGAGACTCGTGTTGGGAGTTGCCTTTGTTTTCAAGTAGAGGGTTCAACAATAGCAAATAATAAGAGGTTCAATTTTCTAGTAGTACCAACAAAATAGTTCGGCATCGAAAGGGTTCCCTATGGTCCGGGTTGTGAAGTAAAGTCATATTGAATGTGCTCCATGATGGTTTTGCCTATTTGGGAGTCAGACAAGGTATTGAATTTCCAGATTTCAAGCAGAGTAATGATGATTACTCTTCATTGGTTAAAGTTAGTGGATAAATGATTCATTACTAGTCAGGGTATGTGAGTTTCACTAAGATTTGGTTTTAATTGTAGTATGGGAAGCCATTCGCCTGTATGATTCGATTTCTTAGTTCAGATCGGGATTCTGGAGGGATTGTCTGAATAGCATGGGGTATAGTAAGGAGCGATTTTGAGGACGAAATCTAATTTAAGTGGGGGAGAATTTTAACACATGTGTTCCAGATTGATTAAGATTACTTTTATCAGGGACTAAAGATTAATTTTTGGAGAAAATCATGTGCCATGATGTGGCCAAGGAGGGCCATGACGTGAAAAATATTTAATGGATCACGTGTATTATTGGATCACCACAGCGTGTCCAAAGGTTGCCACGACGTGGCAGTTGTCCTGGTCTAAGCCCATGATCCTTTTAGGATTTGCATTGTATTTAAACCTCTTTAAGTATTTTTTAGGGTTCCTTAGTGGCCTCCATCACCCTCAAGTTTCAGAAACCCTAACCTTAATTCCTCCTTGAAAGTTGTGAGTCCACTTTACTGACCTTGGGTGCTTATGAAGAAAGAAGAGGCATTAGAAAGGATTATGGTGCTTCTTGGCTGAAGTAAAGAACTCGTTTGGGAATCTATAGACCTTTGTAAGTGTCCACGTTAATTGATTCATGGCTTAAATGGTCAGATATTGAATATTGTCCCACGCCCTTCATGTTTGAGCAATTTTGGAAAGAAGGAACTCATAAAGTTGGAAACTTTATGACTCTCAAGAGCCCCATGAGCAACATCTGTTGTAGATCTAGGTTTTGGTTGAGGTTTCTTGATCTTACAAGAGTTTTGGTCAATTTAGCCCATTTTGACCTAAATTGGATTCTAGACATGTACTGGTATGCATGTCCAAAAAGCTTCCACCTTTACGATAGATCTGGTATTAGAAAACCCTTCTAGAGTGGTAGGGTTAATGACTTTTCAGATTAAGGGCTACATGGTTAATACATTGTGGTATTGGGATTTTTTGGACCTAGGGTTGGAGATATTAATCTCTTTAGGTCTCTTAATGGATAAAGTTTTAAAACATATCCATTTAGACCATAGAATGGACCAGATCTAAGCTTTGGAATTCTTAAAATCGAAGAAAACAGCTTAATCCATTAAGTTTTCGGAATCTCAGCTCCCATGGCATGGCCATAGGTCGCCACAACATGCTGACTGGGAATTTTCTATCCGTTTGATCACATGAGGGCCACGACGTAACC